CAGCCAAGAGCTGAAGGGAAAAGCTGAGGAAACTTCAATTGGAAAATATTTTGACGTAATTGACCCAGATGACAAACTAAACTTAAGCACATGTCAAGCACGGGGAGTGGTACAAAAGCATCTGCAGGGTGATACAGGAAGTTAAATCAAGCCAAGGTGAAGTCAGAGCTCCGAGAACAGTGTATATTTTTGTAATTACTGCTAATTGAAGAAAAGAAAAGATGCCTGCAGCCCAAACTCTTAAGTAACGGAAAGTAAAATGCTGGGAAAAATTTCTAACCTGTTTATTTTTGTCTATCAGTTAGAGCTCCTAACAAACAAAACTAATATTTTAGAACAGTACGTTACATATCTCTTGCTGTTAACGTCCTTAAATGCTACTTACCATCATGTTTTGTTTTGTTTTTTAGTATTACTTTCAAGATTTATCATATTTACAACAATTATTGTGTCTCACTTATACAGATGAATTCTGAGAAATTTAACTTTTGAAAATCTTAATTTTCTGTAGGTCTAAGCTGTTTTCTGTCAGTATCCCTAAATGAGTTTTTGCTTTAGTTTTGCTTTGAAACAGCAAAATATTAAGAAGCACTGAGCAGCAAGAGGAAAAATGATGCTTCTAAAACCATTACGAACATATACAAGTTGCATAATTTTTCTTGGTATTTATTTTGTAAACTTGGGTAATCTGCTTGTTGGACAGAAAGCAGAACTCAAAATCCTTTGTTGATACAACCCTGAGCAAAAGCCTTTCGATATCAGCAGAAAGTCTCCCTCTGACTTTAGCAGGCTGAGTAAGTACAAGGTAATGCAGGACACCATCACCAACAAACATCCCTTCTGGTACACTGCATCTTGGGCAACAAAAGGGGCAAAAGGATTTTCCAGTCCCCATGGTCCTTCTGGGACTGGCAGCCAAAGAACAGCTTGTACCTGGCTGATGGAATTTATCTGGGTAGGTGCTGCAGCGGTGCCTCATCAGCCTTACAGTGTAAGAGCAAGCTTCAGCATTCATTTCAAAACAGGTTAATACAAAAAAAGTACAATGGCATCATTGTTAGTAAAGTTAATCAAATAGATATCACAACAATGAAGAGAAAAAAAAACAACAAATAAAAATCAGAGATTGTCTCTCTGCAAGCTGCCTCCCAGGAGGCTAACAGAAAATCCATGAAGAAATGTAATATTCATTAGATTCTTAGCACAACATAATGACATAGGATTTCCTAAAAATAAAAAACAAAAAAATCTAAGGGGTCAGCCATAGCAAAATCTAAACAAAGATGCAAGCCAAATGCTGATAAAATTATCATCGTTTCCCAATCTATGGAATACAGCAAGATATGGAAGTTTCCTCCCCAGACTACTCTTCCAGTATCACCTTAAAATCTCAGAGATCTAATCAACATACATCTCTAAAAAGCAGCCAGTCAAAGCTGACCCTAAGTGCAGGAACTGTCAAAAAGTACAGAGAGATAATCACCAAGTAAACAGTGAAATGAAGCAGAAAAATCAGAGAAGCAATGCAGTAATATTCAATTCCAGAAAATTAGATCACGTCTAAAGCAAAAATGTCACATGTGGTTATATATAACAAAGAGGTGTCGTCAGCCTGGCAGAAGTTGAAAATTATATTCCCCATCCTATTAATATTTATAGACCTAATATCTGCATACAATTTTATTTTCCGCTGGTGAAAGACACATAAAATACATCTCTGAGGAAAATTACAAGCTTTTGGGCCTGCACAAGAGGAGCATGAAGAAGGACAAGAGTGCACGGATGGCTGATATGAAAAAGAATTCAATCAGATCAGAAATTGTCAATAAATTAAGAGTGATGTTCAACCACCAAAGAATGAAACAATTATCTTAGTTCACTCTTTCACCCCTTTTTTGCTCTCCATGACTGCAAAACACCGAAAACTCCAAGAAGTTGAGAACAATTCAGCTGTCTTTTGATAACAGATTTTGGGCAAAAAAGTATCAAGATGATCACTAACCCCCTGAAAAGCCTCAATGCTACAAGAGATACAGACAAAGGGGCGATAAGAAGGAACAGGAGGAGCCATCTCCTACTAAGCAGTTGACAACCTCCCTCCCAATAAATTTAGCAGATACACTGTAAGGGAGACAAAGAACGACAGTCCAGTAAAGGAATAAAAATACATGATTCCCCTTAGGAATTATATGCAAGATAGCTCTGTAAAAACAAACAAGCAAAACAACTGCTTTTCTCTGGAAAAGCGAAAGGTCACCGATCTTGATGAAAATACAGCTATAAAAAGGTTTTGGCCAGATATCAAAGAGCGTGTTTACAATAGGGCACATTCATTGTAATGCTAACCATTCAAACTTCACAATAGATTTTAGAGAGAACAGGATGCAACGTCAAACATCTGTTATCACATTATTTTCTTCGTCTCCTCTGCCCAGAAATTACATCTAGACTTTGCCTATCTCCCAGACCAGGTTAGAGACAAGTCAGACGCACGCCGTTTGACCACGTCTCATATGGCGTTGTGACAGCCAGCTGCTCCTAAGACATATGGAAACATCACGTTTTAGGAAATTACAGACACCCCAGACGAAGTACCTTACTTAACAGGGGCAGCTGGCCAAACTGGAGAGACATTGCACAGACACATCTGGACAAGGAGCGCAAAGCCCTCCCCGAGCCAGGGAGATGCCAGCTGCACCCCAGTGGCACGACCAGCCGAGGTGAGCGCTGTCACCCTTTGTGGAAAGGGACGGATTTACTGTGTCCACATCGCTTAAACATGGTGTGCATAGTGGGGCCACCTTCCAAAAAAAATCACTGAACCAAGTAAGCAGTTCCCTCTCAGGTTTCAGACGCAGGGGAGAGAGGTGTCATCCAGCCATGGACTCAGATCCATCGCCAGAGCAAAGCCTCCTGCCCACGGAGTGTCCCTGCCACGGACCAAAAACCTGAGCCCCCTGAGCTATACTGCCAGAGCACACACGTCCTACTGGCTGTATTTTCATCAGGATTGCTTATTTAGGGCTGGACCGACTGGAAGGAAAATGCAGGTCTGAAAAGTAAATTATCACAAACAGGCTTCCATTTCAAAAAGCCTGATATCAGTTCCAGAGATGGATATTTGAGACACGATGCAGAGAAAGGGAAAATTAACAGAACCGCTAGCTAGGAAGAAAAACTCTCTCTCTCCCTCTCAAAATCATATTCATCTATTTTGGATTTATTGCAGGAATACATGCAGTGGAAATGAATTCATGCCTGTTGTGCTTTAAGAAGTGCTACAGACAATGATGTTTAACACATTTAGTACATGATGGATGTTGCCTTTTCTGTCCAGGAAGCAAACGTGAAGTTAGGGAAAGTGGGCTGTGTTCCCTTCCTGGAGTCAACACATCCAAGGTTGGACACACTCCAGAGATGTGCCTCTTGGAACATCTGTACATTGAATATTCGACCAGTTCCAGGCCCCGGGATTTAAGCCGACAGGGAATAAAAGGCACTTTCCCCGAGCCAGCCCTTTCTGCTGCAGCTCATCAGGGCTGGGGGTCTGCACCCTGGAGAAATGCTGCATTGCTGTATAAAAGTATTTCGTATCAGTGCACCTTCCCGATCTTTTACATACGGACCGTACAGCTACATCAGCTATTTTCAGCGATTAAGTTAGACTGATGAATACACCATGGTGCCAAGGCTTAGTTGTAACTGTTTTTTTTTTGGTGGTGTTTTTTGTTGTTGTTTATTTTGTTTGGTTTGGGGTTTTGTCTTCCAGATGGAGACTTTTATTTCCTCCCCTTTCAGCCCTCAGTGCTTTGGGCAAAACAAAGAAAGAATGTTTCCTTAAGCAGTGCAGGAGGAAAAGGTTACCTTGTTTACCAGTAACCGGAGCACAAAGACCGACTTTGTCTTCAGGGAAGAGGCAGGAAAGCTAGCGTTTCTGAAGGGCTGAGGTTTCCAAGGCTGCTCTTGTTGGTGTGACCGTGACCCAGAGGCCTGTCTGCAGCACCAGGAGGCAGAGGCAGCGCAGGGCTGCTGGCTGCAGGGTCAGCACAACCGCTTCTGCTTCCAGAGCCACATTCACAAGGTGCCTGAAAGGACAGGCAGAGGAGGAAGCTGCGCAGGAACTAGCAACACAGAGAGCTTTGTGAGCGAAGAGATGGTCAACAGAAAAGAGTACGTGATCGCACTGTTGAGGAGGAGATACTTTTAAAAGAAAAATACTTAAACAAATGTTTTTTCTTGCACTTCATTAACATTCTGACACAGCTGCAAGACTACCCCATGTGGAATCGCTCTACTATCTTTTTTCCCTCCTATGCGCCGAAGCTCCGTATTATTATTTAATAACTTCCACTCATGTATTTTCCATATGACCCGCAGCAATCAATTTCATAGGCAATTTCTCCGTGTTTCTTAATGCTGAGAGAACATAGCACTTATCCAAGAGTACTCCAGATATAACTGATTTTGCAAACTTTCTGAGAAATAATGGAATAGAATGATTTCCCCTGAAAAAGGACTAATAGGGCAAGAAAAATCTGTAATATAACACAAGTAGTAAGATGAAGAAAGCAACCATTCTTAAGGAATAAAAAGGAATGTAAGAGTTGAGATGGTATTATTTCCACGCAAGCAATTATTGCAGCAAGAATATCTATCCACTATCCAAAGTTGCATATTGCTACCATTGTTTTAAGAATTTGTTTCCATTAAATAAAGTTTTTAAAATAATGCTAATAATTAATATTTTTCACCAGAATAAGAGAGGGATTTAAATGCCTCTGTATGGCTTAACCCCCCTCATTCTAAGAAAACACAGGTGTACAGGAAGAAAGTAGTTGTCTTCACAAGAAAACACAAACCTAGTTTGATATTTACAAGGGATTTTCTGTAGCAGAGGTAATTATCAGAAATGCCAGGAGCCACTGGATTCTAGCACCGAACATTGGTAAATTGTGAACTGTTATCCCAGAGTTAAGAAACCATAAGATTAAATGTCCTACCTTCACTGCCAAGAAGTTGAGGCCACTTTCATGAGCCAAAGCTTTTGCTATCATTGTTTTTGAGCATCCAGGAGGTCCATAAAGCAGCACACCTTTGGGAGGCTGAATCCCCATTCGGATGAAGGAGTCGGGATGTTTGAGAGGCCATTCAACTGCCTGCTTCAATTTCAGCTTGACATCTTCTAGTCCTCCTATGTCTGACCAAGATACCTGCAAAGCAGATCATTTTGTTGAACTCACACAATGGAAAAAAAAACACTATAAAAATTAAAAATAATAAAATGACAACATGATCATACAAGAAACAATACTTTCTGTGATCATTAGTGAGTCACAACTCAGTTTTTGATGCTGATGTATAATTTCTAAATTACTTTGTTGTCTTCCTTGAAGATTTAATGAACCCAAGAAGGTTTTACCTAGTGCTGCAGAGTAAGGCCCTGGTCCCAGCTGCATGACTCCCCTAAGCTGAACTTCTGGGAATTCCTCCAATTGCCAACACCACCGCTCCTATGTATGACTGGGCACTTGAGATTTGAGTAGAAGCTTAAAAATAAACAAGCCACCAAACAGACTGCTATCTACAGAAATAAACAACATTCAAACACAACTGCATTTAATTTTTTTCTGCTGAAGACACCGGTCAGGCTCATCGGTGATACACTGGGAAGCCACCAGTGCGTTCTATCCAAAACAGCAGATGGATCTAAAACCTGCTACACTTCTCTGTCTCTACACAAGCCTAAGAAGTTACCCCAGCCCTTTCTTTGTTCTGTCACCACCCATTCCTGTCCACCTCAAACAGTAAACATATCAAGATGGACCTAAATCAAATGATCTGGTGTCTTAAAACACTCTTCCAAAAATTTGTAAGATGTAAGGCACCCTTCAACTCCAGAAAGACATCTAAACTTGCAAGGCTGGCAGAGTATAACCAAGACACAATGCACCACCATTCGCCTGACTCTGAAAATTGCCATCACTCCTGGTTCATCCCAATTGCTATTTGCCTGATACCATAACAAACTGGAAACTCAAACTGAAAAGTCCCTGAACCAGGGGACCCAATTCAGTCTACTACTGAAGAGGAAGAAAAGAACATTTGTGAGTGGTGCAAGCACTTTTGTGTAAGTACAAGCAAACTGCAAACAAAATAAAACTTCTCTTCTATTGTCAGTCTTTGACATAGAAGAAAATTACAAAGATAAGGGAGAGTAAACACAGAAAATCAACACATAGGGGTCAACCCCTCAGAAGTACACCGAGATTAAAGGCTAGCTGGAAGGTGAGGAGCTGCTGATCTGCTGCCAGCAGAACACGTTGTCTCTCATACTAGGAACATGCTACAAGAACTCTAGAAAAAAAATCCCTGTATTTCTTCTTAGTGACTAACAGCTTCTGGTTCTTTGGTTCTTAAATAAATAATTACTTTATAAGCCTGAGGAAGTAAGAAATATGTACAGCTGATAGCCACTGCCCACTGAGAAGGATCTGAGGGCAGAGGGATATGCCAAGGGTTGAATTCCTTTATTTGGGGGAGGGAGGAATGGGACAACACTAAAATGGAAAAGAAATAAATTCAGTAAGGTCAGAGCAAAGGTAAGACTGAATCAGATACAGCAGAGTAACCCAGTAGCAGAAGAGAGGACAGGGCTTTAGGATTTTAGTGGGGGAATTATCAAAGTGGCAGGCCAGTTCCCATAGATCGAAAGCCAATTTTTGCAACCTGCCAATATTTCTTTTTGAATTGCGGTTTCAAAGTGGTATTGTGGGAGAAAAAAAGCAAACAACACCGTTCTGTTGCTGTTCCATAATACCAGCAAGACCAGCTGCACAAATCAGATTAAATGAACAGATGAAAATGAGCTGCACACAAGTCTCTAGTTTTGAAATACAAGCATTTATCTGAAATCATCAAAAACAGTTAAGTGAGAAGCTCCACAACAGTGCGGAAGGGAAGAGGAAAAGAGAACCACAAATTCATATCACCAAAAATTGACCTCAGCGCCTTGGGCTCCCAACACAGTTGAGAGTGAGAGAGAGACAGAGCTTCACAGAGCAACGCAGCCCAATTATCAGCCACCTTTCAGAAGTCCCATACGTGATCATCTCTCACCCAGCTTCTCCCTTTTTCCTTCAGTGGGAATAAACATGGTGATGAGATGTCTAACTCAGGCACCTCAGTTAGGTGCTTGAAGTTGGAAAGAATCCTCCCTTCCTGCCTAAATTTTCACAATAAGAGGTAATGAATGCAAAAGAGATAATAAATAGAAAATCAGAGATAGTCATTCCTATCATAATGTCTTTATATCTAGACAAAGGGATTTTGGCAAACACAAAGGAAAAACTTCTGAATTAAGACACCAGGAATTTCCTATAACTTTCAGCAACAGTGGCAAAATCCATTAGTGGTACTTTGCACGCACAAAAGCCTGGAAGAAAACACTTATATGTTGCTTTCACCCCATTTCAAATACGCAGACTATTGCACAAGCCTTATGAGGTGCTATTCATATGACTTTTAGGATCCCCTACATGTCATTTAGCATCAACAAGATTGACAGAAGTGGACATACAAATAGGACCACTAAATGTGAGCTTGCAAGGTACGAGTTATAAAAGAAAATAGCTCACCAGGCAAAAATTCAGTCAACTTATGTTGAATTTCTATAATGCAGGGCAGAATTCAAAAAAAGTGATGGTAAAAGCAAAAATAGTTAATTACACACTACATTCACATTCTGGTCAAGTCCAAAATGAAGTACATGTCTCCTCATTTTAAAAGGATATAGAGAAGTAGGGAAAAACACCACTGTCCCTCACCAACAATGCGCTCTGAGGGAAGAATTCAGATGGATTCACACAAGGCGGTATATGCTCGGCAGAACTAGGTGGATTGTTTTTGCATACCATCCCGAGGAACTTGCTGGCTGCAATTAACCCAAATGACGGTGCACACACTGTAATGGCCAGCTACACATCTTCACCTGCACACGGACTGAAAGGAAAGGTCTCGCAGCAGAGCAATGAAGTGTGATATTCTGTCGCTGTGGAAATGGTTGCAAAGACTAGCCTTAGGGCTGAGCTTACACACGCAGAGACAGCGCTCTGCTATGGTCTGTAAGACACCAAGATTTCATTACTGCCATAATCTTTAGCTCTCCCTAGGTCAACAGAGCTCAGAATGTGATGCAGAACAGCAACTCCCCGGAGGTTGTTCAGCAGCAGCAGTAAAGAAATAAAGCAGACGTGCAAAGGATGTCTCATCCAGAACCTTTTGGCTGCAAAGACACAAATCTGAGTGTTGAATTACAGTAAAGGGAACGAAGCGGGCAAGCAAAACCCATAGCACTCTACAAAAATTTCAGAAAGACCCATAGGAGAGGGAGGAACAACTACAGCGCAACTCTCCAAACTGATGAAATATTAACTTCTGATTTATAACGTGCATCCCCTTTCTCCTAAATCCCTGCTGCACACAAAGCAGCCTTCTAAAAAGGTTGTAACACATAGCAAAGTTCAAGGAAGGTTCTGTAAAAACAGAAAACGAGATCCCATGTGGAACTGGGCAGACAAGGGTTTTGCATGTGCCTTGGTCACCAGCAATGCGCACGGCAGTCCGGACAAAAGCAGAAGGACAGGGGGATGCTGAAAGGCAAAGCACAGGGAGAAGCACACGGTGACACCTCCACCTCAGCAGCTCCTCTTCCTCCGGCACACAGACTTGCTTTATCTGCCACCCCAATCTCACTTGTGGCTGCTTTCCCCATCCATAACTTTGAATATCCTTGGAATAAGAAAAGAGCTCAGGATGTGTCAGTGACAGTTCTTTCATTATCCATATAACATGTGAATGCCACCGGTGTTACAAGCAAAGGGCAACACAACAGGTTATGAATCACCTGAAGTGAGAGTTACAAATAAAAGGTTATTAACTAGCTTGCACCTTTCAGAAGCAGACAGCAAAGCATTCTGTAATAGTTAGCAAATATCCTCCGACAACAAGAAATAAAGTGACTTCAGCAAGGCCACCCAAACCACTCGCTTCTATTACATATCTTGTTCTTTAGCTACTACCCCAAGTATACGTATAACAGAGGTTTTTCTAAGTCTTAAACAAAAGACTGCAAGAGGGGGATTTCGCTCAGCAGCCTCCTATGCAGTCAAGCAGTTAACACCCTATTCTAGGACCTAAGAAGTGAAGACTGATTCAAAAATTACATTTTCTTTACAGACTACTTAAAATTCTGCAGATTTCAGAGAACAAGCTCTGTGTTGTCTAAACAATTTGGAGTTCATGATTAAAACATAATAATTTCCATTTAGTATCAGAGGTGACATCAGCCTCAAAAAACATAAATGGCAAAGGTGTCAAGACACTATGGGATGGAGCACTTGTACAAAATACCTTTACTTGTAGCTTTATTTTAAGTGACTTTGCACTCTTCTTACTCAGTTTGCATATGGGTACTTCAAATCAGTTAAAAATGGAAAAAATAACACCTTCTCAAGAATAGAAACTTAAAAAACACAGAAGTCTCAGCTTAATTCAGCATGTACATCAATGGATTTACTTGTCACCAACTGCATAGCCTAAAAGCCACCAAGGGAGCTGACAAGTGAATAATGTATATATAACAAATGGAAAAAAACAGGATATTATTAACGTAGATCAGATTTCTGTCTGCTATTTGGAAAAAATCCCATAGCTGATCAGCTATTTCATGACTGAAAATATTTTCCGATTGAATTTTTCCGATGACAAACAACATCAAGGTCAAACTTCAAAAGACGAAGGAATGTGATCCCTGATTTTCTAACAAATCCACCCATACAACTAACCATCTAGCTAGAGGTTTCTGGGGCAAGGAAAGCAGGCAAATAAAAACCTATCCTTACAGAAAGAAACAGGATGACTTCACAAAATACTGTGCATGCAGATACATTAACCAGATATATATACATACACGTTTCTTGAAGAAAGCTGGACTCCTATCTCGTTCGTGTTTTCTTTTGCTTCAACCCCCCATCACATTTTTAAAATTTTGCTAAGAACACCACAGATTGGCTACGTAAGGGAGCCCTGTTGGTGTACATTACTGCAGAGCACCTACACAACATAGCACAGTGCAGCAGGTCAACAGCCAGCTAGGAAAGTGTTGGGTGGATAAGTGGAAAGAGGGGTAAATTAGTAGAGAGGAATTTAGTATGGAAATTAGGACTATAAGCATCAGTTCCACGGCAAGTGAGCAATACTGAGGTTTCCCTGAGCGTGTTGCCGGCATTCAAGCGAACAACACAAACCAGCAAAGTGTTCTAGAACGTAGCACCACCAACACGAGATGCTGTGACCAATTAGTGGCCCTGCAACTGCATCCAGTTAGCTGTTAGAGGCTTGATTTCTACTGAAACCAAGTACTTCTATACCCAATTAACAGCAAGTGTCAGAGCAATCAGTCAAACACGTGGCTTCAGCCAGAGCAGTTAGGCATGTAACCGTGACTGGTGAGGCAAAACTGAGTCTATAAAATTAGATTAAGACATACCTAGGAATCATTACTAGAAGCATGCAACATAAAATTTTGCGTACTCTTCTTAAAAATGTATCTGAGGAAATAGAAACTGCACTACATTCTCTGCTACAATGCATGTCCTGTAAGCACAGAAGGAATCTGCGCTATGTTGTTACCTTCCCTTCAACAAAATAATGAGTCTCAGTAGTATTCCAGTGACTCAGCTGATGTTTAACAAATAAGTGACATTTGAGGAAGCCACTGGCAGGATAGTTTAGTGGCCAACTGTCATAGTAGGTTGACCTGGATTCAGAACAGATTTCCTTGAGACCTGACTTATGTATGTCATCATTGCCCTGTTTAGCAGCACTGCATCCAGCTCCAAATGGGTCGGTATGTCCAGAAGGCAGAGCACAGTGATAATGACATGAGCTCGAGAGACAGCAGCAAATTAAGCAAGAAGAGATTAGTAGCTCTGGTTCTCAGCAGAACTAACCAACCCTTGCAGATGCTGATGGCACTACACCGTTTCCAGAAAAAAGCTGTCTGGGGCCGACACAGGCATTTCCACCCAGCACTTCGCTGCACAGCACAGACTCTTAACAAGCCAAGTGTGACATCCGAGCTGGCTGCGTGCAGCATCCTGTTCACAGATTTCATTTCCCATTCCTATAGTTTGGGAGCGAGGGTCTGTAGCTGTGCAGCCCAATTCCCAGATGACTCATCATCACGCAGAAAGACAGAAATGTTTTCTTCAAGGGGTTGGGGAGCTGCTGAGAAACACCAGCACAACTGCTTGCAGACTCAAGAGCCAGTAAGAGCAAATACGTTTTCTTTCGCTCAATCTTCTTAAACCGGATCAGAATCTTCTTAAAGTAGATCAGCTCCCCAGTTCAATTTATGTAGTCTGTTACCAAATTACTATAACATAACTGAAAGAAAGAGTTGTCAGCGGGGCAATGATGACTGAAGATGGCACTGCCAAAAGAATTGTTCGTGTAATGACAGTCCCTGATGGGTAACTGCTTGGCAGCGATCACCCACCCACAGCATCCAGCTCTGCCCTCAGTTAAAACCTTGTGATCTCACTGAAGACTTTCAGGACACAGCAGTAGGAATTGCATGGAAAATTACTCAACTGCTTTACACAAATCACAGCAATCACTCTCTTCACAGTCTCGTTTCAATACACTTTGATTACAAATGCTAACATTTGGTTTCTACTTAAATTTGTGTCTGCTTTGCAAAAGGCTCCAACTTACACAGCTATTTAGGATCTGCTCAGAGCAGACATCCTAAGATTTTTACTCCATTAGTCCCCCCAGCATATAAAACTACGTATCAGGTCACATACTTATGCACTACCAACTCTTTCTAGAGCGTTAAGAACTCGGGTTTTTGTAAATGGTTTTTTGTTTTTGTTTTTGTTTTAATTTCAAATTAAATAAATATGTAAACAAAAGGATGATGCACAACATTTATTGGCAACTTGAGACTTCCACTTCTGAAAACGACTCTCTTTGGTAGGACATTTCAATGCGTAACTGTGACTCTAACAATGTTGCTAGTGTACTGCAAAAAATAACTTACTTTTGGCACATCAACTGCCACCTCCCTCATGGCGCTGGGCCTGACATCATTCATCCCTTGCAGGAAGTCATTGAAAGCAATCATCACTGACCCAGCCACCTCGTTGTCTGAGGGGTTAGCTCGCTTCCCCAGAGCTCTCCGCAGTGCGTACAAACCTATTAAAAACAAAACCCATAAAAACATGTAGACTTCATCCTGTTTCTCACAAACACAAAGTGCACAACACACAAACACACAGCAGTGCTGGAAAGGAAACGATAGTCAAAAGCATGTCCCAGCGCCGGGCCTTAACTAGGTCAAGGAGCATGCAAGACACTTCTGATGAGAGAGGAAGAAAAAGGGGATCTTATGACCACAGACAGCATATAAACTAAATCAGTTCCAAAAGACGGAACAAAACAGCCCTATCCCCGTGTTCCTGAGATGAAGCTAACAGGACAAAACCTGCACGTGGCCATACACTGATCCAAACACGTTTTTAAATGACAAATTAGGAAGAAGCGTAATGAGTATTTGAGACAAGTATTGATTTAACACTTGCAAGATACCCATAAACATGTCCATTCCTCTATTTATTAGGACTTCTTTTCCCCTCCCTTGGCTGCTCTTAAAAAATAATGCAACCAAAGTGATATCTGTTACTTTGATTGGGATCCTGTTTTGCTACCTGGTAGGATGCCAAATACCATTATTTTTCTTGATATGCAACAAACACTCCATCTTTTCTATACCCCTGCAATTCTGAATGGCTCTTCTTTCCTTTCCAGCCATCAGTGCACCTTCCAGACATACACAGGCATAGCTTTCACCTTCTCTTTCATTTGGCCAAACCACTGACACACGCCACTTATGAATCTTAACGCTAATTCCTAGCTTGTCCCTAAAATCCAGTCCTTCACACCCTGCAGAGGCAGCCCCCACTCACCCCACAGCAGCCCCAGCAGTGCCACCCGCAAGCCCCATGCTCTCAGACCAAGCAGCCACAGCCCCCGCTGTGCAAGATGCCCAGAAGCACCATGTTTCTCCCACTGTGTAATTATGCCTTTTAAGGTCTAATGTCATTTGGAGTTGTATTGCTGCTATTTCCAACCCTGCTCTATGACTTGGAGCTGTGAAATGTGTGATATATTAATGCGTGATGACTATAATCCTATACGCAGGCATGCAGACACGCAGACATGTAGTACACAGCCTGACGTGTGTTACAAAAAACTGGGGCGGTTAGTACGGCACCAGTTTGTCTTGCATGACCATAAAAAGACAAACATTTGTTAAATCTTTTCTATATTTAACCAGAGAAAACACCAATTAGTGCTAGATGAAAGCACAATAAAGGGGATAAGCCGTTTCTGAAAATAGATGTGGTTTTAACTTGCAGCAGATTATTGTCTTTTTTCTGCAGAGGCACTGGTAGATGGGGACATACAAAGTTTCTGACAATGACAGGAATTCTGCATTTCCTACAATATATACAGTGTGTGAAGAGATATAATATCTCCCCTGTGCACCGGTACAGCTGGTGTCTCTCCATAAACTGCCAATTATGACAGAGTCAGAGCACCTGCATTCAATACCCAGGCTCTTAATACAATAATGAAAAAAAAGAAGTTTGCAATTCAGGTTTCCCCTTGTGCAGAACATCCAGAACTAATAAGATATATAAATAAAAACATTCCACGAGGCCAAGGAGAAAATGAAAATCTGGTCACCAGAGGACATGCATAAAATACAACTCATTTTAACAACCCAGACAATTTTCATGGTTCTTCCTCCCCCACTTCTTCCTTCCTCCAAAACAGTTCATTTTAAGCAAACAAAAGCGAGAAGACACAGATTCATCCCTGCAGACTTAAAATTTGCATCCAAGCAGATAACAAAGCAGATAGGTTTTTCTAGAGCCAGAGCAGCAATGCCATGCGGGGAGGCAGGTACTGGGGGACAAGTCCTACGCTTTGGTTTTGGTGAAGTCAATTCATTTGGCACTCTCATTTAAAATATTAAAGAATAAATAGCATAGCATGAAGTTAAGGCATAGAGAAAGCCAGTAACTGATCGCTGGTCCCCATTTCTGTACCTAACTGTTCCACCAGGTACCAGTTTAGCACAAAGCCCGTGTGATGAACTGTAATCACAACATGGGTATCTTTCTCTCATTACATGACCAATTCCAAAAAAAAAAAAAAGCTAGAAACCCAGGTAAGAAGGCGCAAAGAGAAGACCACTCCTGAGCATTGTGCTGCCAGGAGCACCCGAGTGAAGTTTCAGCCACCAGCAGCAGGTTTGCAATGCAGCAGCCCTGATCCAGAACAGGAATAAAGAGGTCACAGCTTTCCAAACAAAGCCTGAATTAATTTCAGCATGTGCACGCACACGCCATTGCACAGGTCAGCATTTAATTGAAACAATGTTTTACATTAAAACAATAATAAAAAACAGATTGGAAAAGAAAGCATGATTCTTCCTGTTTCCTCCTGTTATCATAATCATTCTTTCCTGCACTTCAGACTGACCTCTACCCAGAGGGGGAAGAAAGTCTTATTAACAGGAGAAGGATACAGCCAGTGGCTTGCCTGAGGGGAAAGAAAACACATCCTTGTCTAGAGACACTGAAAGATATGTGTAATGTAAGGAAATGCGGGGCAGGGTGCAAAATATGCTGCTAGAAGCAGCGTACAGGCAAGGGGGGTGAATCACAGAGCAGACGCAAGTTAATCTGCCCCACAAAACACCAAGCGGCTCGGCTTGGCCATCCGGCTCCTTCTGCATGGTGATGATGGGGATGTCCAGAGCACGGACACAGTTCAGCTTCACTTGCTGCTTTCAAGACCCAGCTGACCTGCAGGGATCGCTGAATGCCAGCAGCCTCTGTCACTGAAACATCACTCAGAAGGCAGCATCTGCAACCGTGAGCAGCGCTGATGCTCAACAGAGCATAAATGGAAAATCCCAGTTTACAGAAAAAAAAAGAAAAAGAAACAAGCATAATAAGTCATGCATGATTACCAGCAATGGAAAATAAACAATATGTTCTAGTCCAGCAACTGTGCGCCCTACCTCACTAACTCATCCTGCCTGTCTAGAACAGAGGAAATTAAGTGGACAGAAGGGGAAAGACCAGCAGAACGCCTTGTCCTGGTACAGCTGGTCCTCCTTTGGCACCGGGCTGAGCGTGAGGTAGATAGCATTGTTCCCCTGCAAGGTTTTCCTGCTTGTAGCTTGGCTAAGCCTTGGCACATTAGATCATAATCACAAATGCCTGGGTCTAAAAATAGACCCTACTACGCTGCTACATTTGTCAGTCTGTGTATAATTACACCCTACTGTAAATAATAGAAAGCATCCACCCAAAACAATGAACATACATACTTTAGGTTTCTAAACCAAATACACACAACACACGAGGAAATCAAGCAAACAAAACAAAATCATTAATCACGCTTCTTTCACTGCCCGTCAGCCGCTTCTTCCACAAATCCGTCTTGCCTCGACTTACTCTACCAGAAGCATAGCACCAGCATTTGTAAGCAGCTTCACAAAAATTGTAATTTTCATGCAAGCTTGTTTACAAGAGGAAATGTTTCTTCTTTCCCCACTAATCCGGCATTTCCCTCCCAAATTACTCTGGCCAAGCCCTGGAGACACATACCATTCCTCGCTGTGACAGCTCTCAGATCCACCACCATGCTCTCCTGCCTGCCTGCAAGAGGAATGCTCAACAGCAGAGATTTCAGCTCCCTAATGGCACTGTGTGGGGCATCTTCCTCTCCTTCTAGGTCTTTAGACACCGTACTTCAAAATGTAACAGTGTTATGCATAGAAATGAACATTTCATATAACTCAGAATCAATTTTGAAATTTAGAAGCCCTAAGAGGAGTGTTCCTGACTTCACAAGTAATGGATACAAAAGTTATTCCAGTGCTTGATAATTTTAAGATAAGGAGCTCTTCTCCTTTATTATGTGACAAATTGTGTTAGGAAAGCTTTTACAGAACTTCATGTATCACGTACTACAGATCGCATGTATTCTTGAACATGTAACCTCATAAATAAATGGAGTTTGTAGTCCTTTATTATGACATCGGATGATCAATTACAAGAAAAAAACACACGTGTCTTGTTGCGGGAACCACCACTCTCCATGGCTAGCTGAGGTGTGTTCTGCCATTTGCATCCTAAGAAACTTCTATAATTTAGGAATGTTTTCTTTCACTTGGTGATTGTTTTATTTTCTGTTTGTTTCAAACAGTGCAATAAACTTATTGAGGAGTGAGAAAATACCCAAAGATAAGGCTACTATAAGTATGTTTTTAAAACATATTTCCTGTGATTTTAATCTCTACATAAAAATGTTTGTCCATTTAGAAATTCTTCAGAGAGCAGAAACCCTGAGCTTTTTTTCTTTTTCCTCTTGTAATCGCATACTGCAATTTGTCTTTAGCTGCCAGCGCTGTATGGTAAAATCCCCAAAGAACTTTCATATACTGTTTGCACAGGAAAGATAATGCCCTTAAATCCCTTGTAACCATAACATTGCAAATTCCCTCCGCTAACCTGAGCATTGATCTACTGTAGGGATTGCGGAGGCGATTTATGGCCCTTTGTGAGGAGCTGCGGCGTTCGCTGGAACATGTCTGCGGAGCTGCCTGCAAGTCGCTGGGAGGTGCAGCAGGGGAGGGAAAGGAAGGAAGGAGGAACTATATTTTCAAAACCCCTTTCATACAGGAAACAGTTTATTCACAGATCAGATACGCACACATCATTTATCCTAAGGGAATGACAGCGCGGGGAAGTAACGAGTCCCAGACTGCCCGTGTTTGTGGCCCGCTCTCAAGTGCAGCACACCTAAGCTAAGGTGAGACCTGCACATGCAAGGAGGAAAACAGGGCCTGCCCACCTACCTGAACGGCAGGATACCACAGAGAGCACCTCCATGCTGGTCCAGTTGTCACTAGGAACGCTGTCAGGCCAGGATACCGCTGGGAGTCAGAGGGGGGAAACCAGCGAAAGCTGCCCTTACAAAAACTCAAGTTCTGCCTCCCAAGAGCAGCATCCATTCAGCAGACACATACCTACTGGACGCCGGTTTTACTCCTGTAGGACTAACAGAGACCTACAACTTGAGTTACATTTTACCAGAGAATCTTTTATGATCTT